ATCTCTGGACCATAATCAAATTGTTGATATTGCTAACGATAGTTTTACTAACTTAAATAGTTTAAGTAAATTGTAAGTCAATCAAGCATTTTAAGTTTGCATTGTTTTAAAGAGTAGAGTAATGATATTGATTTAAAGAAAGTCATATTTGATTTACCTATTTCATAGATCGATTAATCATAATAGACTTTCTGGCTTATCGTGCAGTTCAATTTACAAAACTATTCAAGACTTGTACGTAAAAACGAAAAAAACTGCAGAGCTATAAATCTGTCTATTTTACTAAAAGTTTTAGTCACTTTTCAATTAGTAATTCATTAAAAAATTAAAGTATTAATGCTTGGCAATTTCTTATACCATTTATATCACAATCAAATTTGATTGTTTCCTATAGGAGTGTACACCATAACAATATATCTTATATCTCACCAAGTTGTAATGAAACGTTTGGGAGTTTAAAGAATAGCTTGTAAGAGGAATCTTGTTTGAAAAGTTTACATCATACTACAGAATTAGGGAAAAAAATTATACTAGCTGTGTATATTCTTACTATTGGCATTTTATATATAAACTGTAAATTTCCACTTTATTTGTTATGATGGTTTGTTCTTTACTTTAAGACTTAAAGTAATAATTCTTCCATATTAATCACAAGGGATATGAGCTATAATGATCTTGAAGCAAATGGTATTAACATTTACGATCAAATCTTGATAAAACTAGCCAAGTTACCTCCTACTCTGTAAGTACCGTTGCACAACTTCAAGCAAGTAAATGAATAATGATAGTTGTCTTAAAATAGTAAATGTTATTTTGCCTAATGATATGAAACTTTAACGCCATCATTCACAAATTTTTTGCTTAAATGTAATTAGACTACTGGCTGGCAATAATATTACATCACTACCACATTCCTTTATGAAATGGAATATATATCTTAGAACATTGTAAGTGTGTTAAAAGCTATAACTAAGCGATAAAGCCAATTAAGCGTAGAAATGTCTTCAATATCTATTTTAATTCGAAAATTATTAAATAACGATATATTTAAACGTTTAATTAGTTTCAGCATTTGATCTATAAACCTAATACATTTTTGGGGCTTTTGAGCTCTAATTATCCACCATTGAGTAAAATCTTACCAACTTATTGTACAAATGAGGCTAACCAGGAACTTTCATCTGCGTGTAAAATTACTATTTAAAGAGTGAATGATCTAATCAACAAAAGATTAAATAGTACTCCTGATCAGTTTGCCATAAGAACATCGGTAAAGTTACTATGCAGTGGAGCTACAGCGTCCACATTAACTTGGTGATAGCAAACTCATGAGTTGAGCTGGAATAGCTAATAATAAAGTATCATATATACGTTAATCAAGAATATGTTATAGGTAGAGTAGTGCCGACTAAATTAGTGCAGAAACAATTATCATTGAAGTAATTTTACTATCTATCGTGTTACTAAGTAATTTTGCTGGATCGATGTGGGTAAAGAATACCTGCTTTCTATCATCTACTTGTTGTCACAACCTCGGTCTTGTCAATTTATAAAAGGGTCTTTATCAATTCTCAGCGTTGCTAAGGATCTAGATTCGGTTTGTGTGTTAGGTGAAACATAACAGCAGTTAAATACGACAAGTGCTATTAATAGTTATTGTCTTTTACTCCTTGGATTACTGGTGCACCATTCTAGACGATAGTTTCTCGGAAGGGTTTTATAAATTAATAACGTTATAAGCGTATCACCAATTTGTAATAAATTTATGTTTCTAACTAGCTACACTCACGCTTGCTATATTAAGATGTAACCAAATTAAAAGTTACATTTAAATTATGTTGAGGTTCGCATGCTATATGTAAGATTATAAATAGATGAATTTCAGAATATTATCGATTTATCTGGAATTATATGCTATATGTAGCAACATGTATAACCATAATAGGCATGGAAAATAGAGTATAAATCACGTAATTCATTTACTGTCGATTGACCTTGGCATATGCTACTGCTCAATCTAAAATAAATCAATTATCGGCTTACAATTAAATTTATAGGTCTATAGGATATAACAAATTGGCGTTATCTGCCATCAAACGCATCATAAAAGGATTCTATATCACTAATTACTGCTTGTCACCAAGTATATCTACGACAGCTAAATGTTTTATGTATTCTATGTAAGTTATGTACTTTGCCTAAATATGTTTTAATCGATTTATAAACAATTAATTTGTATTCAAAGAAGCCAAACAACAGCAATTTGTCAATCGTTAATAGTGTATTTTTACCTATGCGAACTCATACTATCGAATTATTTAATTGGAGCAGAGATGCAAGCCATAGCAGGTTAACAGAAATTCCATCCAATGTATTTGTTCATCTGAGAGGATTTTTGAAAGTCTTGTAAGTTATCTTTGCTAAATACCAAACGTAAATTAGTCTTTATTTGAAATTAAATAAAAAATGGATAATAACCAGATAATTTACTGTATATCTATTGGTTTTATTGGAAGCATAAATAAAACAATTGTATAAATGCGGTTAATTAATAACGTAAATCTAATAATTATATAGTAGATTGAGAAAAATGAGGTGCTTTTAATAGATAGTTACTAATAATGTAACGGCCCACTTATCATTATATGTTTAACAATTTTAATTATACCAGATTCGCCTTAGATTTAAATTACAGTACTTTCTATATTCATTCACAATACAACATGATTACTATAATTCAATTTATAAAAGCCTCGGAAAATGCTCAACTGATTAATTAAGATTTCAGACACGATTCGATATTACGACGATGGTATTAAAATAGAAATACCCTTTGAGGCAATTATAGAAGTGTGATAGAGTTTGCTCTCAAAAATACAGTTTCTTGCAAACTTCACTTTACGTAAGATTAGGTTCGTCTCATAGCTAACAAGGACTGTCTAACTGCAGTCAGACTATCTCTGGAATATCTGTATTATCACAGCAATATTCACAATTGATATACAATTAGTTACTCAATGATTTTTTCAAACACAATCTTGTCTTACCAATTAAGTTATAAGTTTATATCTAAATTTACTATCGCGCTATCAGTTCATAATTTGCGCTTCTAATTAAAACGTCGCAATACAAATCTTACAGTACTAACATAATTAACGCTCTCTATTATTATCACAGAATCTTAATATAAGCATCTCAATACAATTACTACAATACGTATAACCAACATCTTCCTCTATTAGACACTTATGCAGTCTTACACCTTAGCGTACAATTTATCAATTTTCGTATTATTCCATAATCTTATTCTTAAGCTTATTTGGGGCTTCACTACATGAAGATACAAGTAACTATCTTTTTTTGACTATCGCATTAAATTTTGCATACGTATGTGTACTTGATGTCATTGCACTAATTCAGCGGTAGCAATTTTAATTAGTGTCTTTTTGATCAGTTCTCAAAATTGCTATAACAGCAAATTAATAAATTGAATATCAGACATTACCATTATGATTTAAGAATATCTTAAATTGGTTTTCTTTGTACTGTATGATAGAAATCTAAATTATAACGAGATAACACAGATCGACGCCTCGGCCATATTTCGAGATAGTGAAAGAAACTTGCAAGAGCTGTAAGTTAAAAATATTGCAAAAGCGCTTTTTATCACCTTTTATATTTAATTAATAATAATCATTTATTGCGCTACATTTCTCTATCTGAATACTATCTAGTACGGTACCTGATAACAATCTTGCATTTTTAGATCATATAATGTGGCAAATCCGATTATGTAGTTATGATAACTTTGATCTATTGATTTAGGCGTTTGGCTAATAATGCATTATCTAAAGTTACCAATCGTTACAATGTTCAGTTTAATGCACTGAAGTTATTGTAAGAATAAGACTTAATATAACGACTTTATTATTTAATAGTTATATGAAAAATATGCGTCTAAGATTTTCTTGTATATTATGAAATCTATGCAGGGATTTAAAACAAAACAGACTTTCTAACATTTGTGGAAGGTCTAGCGTATTAGGAATTGCGCCCAACCTTTTAGAATTGTAATAATAAAAGTTCTATTATCACATATTCTATGTTCACTATTATTGCTTACGCTTAACTCAGAGAATACTTATAAATACACCTATTCGCTCTTATATTCTCTTAGATATTTAGATTTCAATAAAGTCAGAATTTTAACAAGTAGGTGTTTCGGGACACTATTCAAACTACAACTATTGTAAGTTTAAAATTTTTTAAATTATCTGCTGCCTTAAATATCAAATTCTATCTCAGTTTCAATAAAGCTAGCATATATTATAATAAGAAAGAGAACTTATTACGGCATGTTGATGTACAGATTTGTCTAGCATTGCCACTTTAGAGTTAGCTTAAGATAGTATTCTTTTACCGTGCTATTAGATCTATTAGGTCAAATCCTTTGGCACTGTTAAATGACATATCATTTTATGGTTCAGTATCCCTGAAAAATGTGTAAGTTAAAATATTTCTAGGTTCAAATCTATCTTACAGAAGATGTCTTTAATAATTTTTAATTTCAATTTATCGTATTTTTAAATAATTAAATAAGATAAAATTCTTGATGGGAAATTTGAATTTATTACTCTCATCAAGTGTCTACTAATATATTTAATAATTTTCAGTATTAAAGAGGAAATTAAGGCTCAAAATTTACAGATTGCAGAATTATTGACGTTATATCTCTAAAATCTCTCGCTGATTTGCATTTCCATAGAGTTACTCTCTTTCCATAGTCTAATCTTCATAACAATGCTTTATATTTCAATAATTAATATTAGCAGGCGTAATGTCAATCACTTTTAATATCATCATTAAACTTAATCTCCCCTATTTTTGTCCAAGGCCTTCATATTTCATAATTGCTGTACGATGTCGAAAATTTCATTCAGATTTTTCTGCTAATTGATTTCTTAAATCTTCCATCTGTTTTTGTGAAAAACGTCCTTTAGAGCCTCCACACGTGCTTACTTATGCTGTATAGTTCCAGCCAAAATTACAACATGTTCACCAACTCCGGATTTAGATTCAGCCTCAAGCTGTGAAAATATACTTGCTCACATATCTTTACGTTTAGCTGTTTGGATTATGGGTATTGCATCATTTATAGGAAATATACTTGTCGTTACCTTGCATCACACCAATAACAATCAAAAGATGAGTAAAGCTACAGAACTTGTCTTCAGTAATTTAGCCTTGTCAGATTTTTTAATGTCAATCTATTTATTTATTATTGGTGTTGCCGATGTAATTTACCGAGATCGTTACTCTCAATATGCTGAAGAATGGCTCAGTAGTCCAGCATGTTTTATTGCATCTTTCTTAATATCTACATCAAGCTTGATGTCGGTTATTATGATGCTATTTATCAGCATCGACCGATATTTAATTACTGCTAATCCATTTGCATCATTGGATGGAAGATATAAACGGACTAAGATAGCATTAATAGTTGGATGGATATTGGCATGCACTTTTATTAGTATACCAGTTATAATGGGTACTAATCAAATTGGAGATAGGCGATTACACGAATTCAGTTCTATTTGCTCTCCGAGTAATTTAAGTGATAAATTTTATGCTGGCTGGGTACTTGCTTTCGTTATAATACAATTTTTATGTTGGGCTGCAACATTAATAGTCTATGTGTTGTTAATAATATCAGTTAGTAAAACACAGCAATCCGTTCGTAGTAGTGCTCAATCTCGCAATTTCACAATTGCGATTCGATTATCAATAATTTTAGTTACAGATTTGATTGCATGGCTACCAGTTTATGTTATTTCTGCAATGACTATAATTCAAGGCAAATTAAATATATTTACATTACAATTTGCGATCATCTTGGCTGTACCACTCAATTCAGCGATTAATCCGTATATTTATACAGCTACTGGAACAGCTTGCTTCAATCAATTGGTTTCTATGGGATCGAAAAGAAAGTCAGCACGATCTATGCTTAGTCGAGGTGCTGATATGAGTACATTTAGGAGTAATGCAAAGGCTACAAAGCCCAGTAAGACAGGCACTGATCTTGCTCAAGTACAAATACAGAATCAAAATACTGTCTGCTCAACAATTATTGACCCTTATAGTTACATATACGATGACGTTGATAATTGTTCGACAAAGCAAATTGTAAGTGAAGAAATCGATTCTGATGGAAAAGTTGCAATAGAATGCGATTTCGATCGCTGTGATACTAATTCTCCATGGCGAAGGCATAAGGCACCTTTACGTTTATCTGATGATACTGCAATTGTAATTAATGACATCGATGCATCGAACAATGTCAATTATGAGAATCTATTAATCGATGATAAAAGCGATCTTGTATGCCATAATGATATGGTTACTTGTCATTCTAATACTACCGATAACGTAGGTTCTATAAATCCTGCGTTTGATGGTTATGAGAATCTAGATACTGAAGGAGCTGACCTTAATTGGCAAGAACTTTTTGGCAATAATGAGGGTAAAAAAAGTAAATTCATTACTGGTAACGAAGGCTCCAGAAAGACTTATTATAAACTCCTTCATAATCAACGGTTTGATACAAATACTTCAGGAATGAATATTTATAATAACACCCAATCGTACCATGATGGCTTAAGGATATCTGATTTTGACGAAGGATTCCATTCTTTCCATCAAAAGTCTAAACTGAATAATCGCATGACAGGAATGAAACGGAGCAAGTCACACTAAATTTTTGGTAATAATTATACTAACATTCCTTATCAAATGTTTTTCGGCAGTATGACATCGTAATGATAATAATCTTCATTATCTACCGAGGACTGTAATTTGATAGACTAGTGAACACATAATATGAGCTGCGGATATATTCGTAGGTTATTTATTATCATTTTGCGGATAATAAGGATTATGTTAACCTTGCGTTTCCATCTCTAAATATAATCAATTGTAATTTGGTTATTTTATATGCCAAATAGTAGGCGTAGATCACTGTCATATAGTGCTATAGATAGTAAAGTAGTCATGAATTTAATAGTACGTCGACCTTGGACCCACACTTATTTGCAGGCAAGAATGATTTAGTATGTCATTGCTGTCATGTATTAGCAATTCATATACTCATTCAGTATGCTTTTACTTGCAATAATATATTTAAAGAAATGAGTTAATGTTACAATTATGCAAAGTAATCAAGTGCTGTAAAGGCATTTATTTATATGCAGTAAGTAAATTTTGTAACCCTTTAGGTTTGCAATACGCTAATTAAAAATTCATATTATGTAAAGAGTTTGTGTGTCTAGTTTACCTTATAAAAACCTTTCTTTTAATCCACTATTGTTTACAAGTACTTTGTTAAGCACAGTGACTAGCCTGCTTTACGAAGGGATTTCTTACCCCCTATGAGCGCATTTTTAACACGTTTTAATTCTGTAATTAGCTTAAATCACTATATTATTGTATTAATTTATTATTTTAATCATGGATTATTCTGAAAAAATAAATATGTATTACATTTTCCCTTTTGGATCCGGTATACGTACTTTGCAAAATGTTTAACTTAATAAATTTTATTATCTACATGCTTTAATTCATTTCTTTTATATTAAGTATTTCTTTACTTATATTAACAATGAATGCTGAAATAGCTTTTGCTTAATAACCGTCTATAACTGTTTGATAAAGTGTCTAACTGTAAGCAAAAACTTCCTTATGTTAAGAATAAATTATATCTTCTACTAAGGACCGAATTAGCCACAACTAACTGAACGTCGGAGATGAAATCTTCTGCTTACATATATACATTTGGTTACAGAGTATCGCCAGAATGCAAAGATCAATATCTATCTTAATTAGGCTAGCATTTCGTTACTAGCGTATCTCAAGGTATGAAAGTCATCTGATACAGCCTCTCTAACAACTACTACAATCTGCGCTGTAACTACCTACACGAATATTCAAGTATACAATGTTACTGTATTTATTAAAAAATCCGTCATTTTACAAAATCGCCAGGTATTTTGTAAAATCACTTAGGTATCACTATTATCTTCAATCCATTTTATTATCGAATGCAAGATAAAGAGGAACTAAACTATCACTCAATGTCGCGGACTACTTCCTGACAAGTTTACTAGTCTAACGTAAAGCATATACTTTTAGTACCGATGATATGCTATTCTACAACCTTACTACGACTGTTTCGCGACGATGGAGTAGTAATGCCTCTTCTTTCTTTCGAGTAAGCATTTTTAACATAACAATTAATGTTTAATAAGAATATTTTATGCATCTTAACTAAGAAGAGCTATAGTTAACACTGCCTTATGATTGTCTGAGAAATTAGCTTACTACATGGATATCATCAATAATAGTCATTGCTGATTGCTAGCAATGTTCTACTATCAGTATTCGGGGTCAGATCCACGTGAATAGCTGTACCATAATTAAGAGGATGTTTGACATCTTACGTTTTTAGATATTAACAAATCAGGAAACACATTTCAAGTAAATACATTCTACCAACAGAAAAAGTCGATTATTTATTTAGAGAACAGTATTCTATTCATTTTCTTTAATTCTGATTGTAGGTCATTTAGTTATGGTAAATAAATTAATCCTAAACTTTGTAAGAGCTACAGATATGAAGCTCGTAGTTTCTTCGAAGTTATTTTTAATAGCTAAACATTATTTTGCTATTCTATCAAGTTTACTGTAAAGCTTTTTTGAATTCTGCCTTAACTTTGATTATTAAATTATGAGAATTTGGTTTTAAGATAGATAGAATAGTCGGATACTTTCATTACAATAGTAGTTTCAGTTCCTTATCACAGACTAACATCATTACACACTTACAGGGTAGATGCTTTTTATTCAATATTTGAAACGTAGTTTTAAATCATCATCGTGTTCCACAATACAATTGTAGTTATACAAAGCAATGTCACAACTGAGGTGAATTGATAGAGAGTAATGTTGCGTTCCGCTTTATGAATACGAACTTAATGAAAGCTACAATTATGAATCAGTTTCCTTTTATCACGTTTTTCGAGGATATTCACTCTGCAGTTCGTATTGATAACTTCGTTACCGTTCGCGCTGGAGAAAATTTGCTAAATAAATGCTAATATTACTTGAATGGATATCATGGTGTAGTGTAGCAGCAGTGAAGTTTTTACACATGGATTAGTATTTGTTTATATGAACGCTTTCTCTGATGTTTTACATATTTGGATAGATAGCTGCTTAGTCATGTTATTTATGAATTGATATATGCGTACAGTAATTAACGCTTATGCAAACATACCATGAAATGGTTGATTTTTTAAAAGGAATTGAGATCAGTTTTGCTTAAGAGAGTCAAAAGATATATTGACACCACTTAACAGAAGGCGAGATCGTTAATATTTACTGTCGTATTGCAGATAAATATCGGGGAGCACTAAAGTGATAGCACGCTTTTAGTTAGCAATTCCTTTTAGTAGTTTTGTGTTTCTTCTTATAAATTTAACAGAAACAGAATCTGCTTGCTGATTTTCTGTAACCGATTGTTTTCTAAATTCATCTATTTAATTTTCAACTATTCGAAAGAAATTTGATCACGAATTGGGTAAAAAGATAGTAAATGATAACAGCAGGAAAAATTGATCATTGTTTAAGACATTCTCAGAACATTCGGAACAGCATCTTCCAAGCAATGAAAATTTGTCTTGAGACTAGGAAAGCCATGGGGTAAACGGTGTTTTTATGTAATAAGGATGTACGAATAGGCCAAGATTTTAATCGCAGTCTCAAAAATATCCTTACGCGACACGATAATATACCAAATGTCGATTGCGTATAAAATTTTTATTGAATTTATAATTTTACTTCCTTTAGATAACGCAAGCCAAGTTGCTATGAATAGGTTTTTATTGAGGGTCACAACCTATAAACTCGAAAATTTAGTTATTAAAATAGAAGATTCTCTAATGTGATACAAATAGATGAGCTCTGCTTCTAACTTTAAAAATATCAATTATTGCAACTCTGTCAGAAAAGAACCAATTTTATTATTCTCAAATTAACTGTTCAATGGCTAAAGCAAACAGAGTAATCGACTTATTAAACTCTAGAACAACAATTCCTTACGATTTAAGCACAGTCAAATACTCCTTTACAATGTTTTACTCAGAAATTAAAGATCACGGTAGTATACAAAAAACACAAATTTACATGGCTTTCAGGTAAAGCTTTTAATGTGCTTGGAGTAATAAATCTAAGTACACTTTTTCACCAAATCAGTCATCATTACAGTTACTTCGTTAAGCACAACGACTATTCTACGCTACTTAGTGCTTTACTTCTGTTACAAATCAAATACGTAACGAGAAAATTTAAAATATTACAGCAACTATAGCGCTACGAGTATACTATGAGATTTTTCCTCCCGATATCTACCTCCATTATAGTACGACTTTAAATACTAATGATCACCTATCACCAGGAGGAATAATGCCACAAGTCTGTCGTAGGCAAAAATCAACCCAAACTGTATTGAAAATTCAGTCAATTTCTAGTGTAGTCACAAGATTCTACTTTAGTTGCTACTACTTAAATAGTATTTTCAGACTACCTACTTATCGACTAAAAATACGTAAATTATCATAGATAATCTAATATCAATACATTTCTAGATAAGCAATCTTATAAAAACTATGCTACCACTACTACGCCAAAGTTACTCCTTGAACACCTCATATTACTCTTGCACTTTCAATAAAACTAATTTCTCCAGCGATAAGATGAATCACTGCAAAAATTTAATTACATTTCAAATCAAAGCTACAGATCCAACGACAGAAATTTATTATAAAAAACGTATGTTTTCTCTTCTAAAAAATTTATCGCAAGAAGTTGCTTTACCATTATCTTCAATA